TCTCTCTTTGCAGCAGCAGCAGCAGCAGCTGCTGCTGCTGCTGCTGTTGCTGCTGCAGCAGCAGCAACAGCCGCAAGGAGATATACCAACGGCAGCAGCGGGTCCTGTAAGGACAGAAACCGCTGCAGCTACACCAACAACCGCTCTACGTTCTGCTGCTCCTGCTGCAGCAGCTGCTGTTATAGCTGCTGCTGCTGCTGCTGCTGCTGCTGCTGCTGCTGCTGCTGCTGCTGCTGCTCGTCCTGCTGCTGCTGGTGCTGCAGACGATTATGGCCTCCGTTTCCCCATTAAGGTGTGTTGCTGGTGATGATGATTTGGTGCCGCAGCAGCAGCTGCAGCAACGGCAGCATAAACAGCTGCAGCAGCTGCAGCAGCAGCTTGAGCAGGAGGAGCAGGAGCAGCAGCAGCAGCAGCAACAGGAGGGAGACGGGGGAGGGCTCGGCAGAATAATTAGTAAGAAGAGGAAACGGCCTGCTACAGCAGCAGCAGCAGCAGCAGCAGCAGCTGCTGCTGCTGCTGCTGCTGCTAAGTGGGGGAAGACCAAGGGTACAGAACTACCTGTTGGAGAAGCAGCAGCAGAGTCTGCTGCTGCTAAAACAGACCCCACTCCTCCTGCTGCTGCTGCTGCAGCAGCAGCAGCAGGAGCAGCAGCATACAATTATCCGCTGGTGCTGCCACGAAGTACAGCAGATGAGCTTGAGGAGGGTTGCTGGGAAGCAGCAGCAAGGGGCAAACAGGCAGCAGCAGCAGCTATAGCAGCAGCAGTAGCAGCAGCAGAAGCAGAAGCAGCAGCAGCGCGTGACGACGACGCTGCGCTAACAGAGGCGGCACCTGCTGCAGCAGCTGCTGCTGAAACTGGAGGGGGAGGACCAGCAGCAGAAGCAGCAACAGCAGCAACAGCAGCTGCAGCAACAGCACCGAGACTAGCAGCAGCAGCGCAATCACTGGCTCAGCAACAGCTAGTGCAGCAGCAACTGCTGCAGCAGCAGCAGCAACTTCTGCAGGTGTTGCGGAGCCAACAGCTTCTGCAGCAGCTGCAGCAGAAACACCTGCAGCAGCAGCAACAGTTGCAGCAACAGCAGCAACAACAGCAGCAGCAACGACAACTGCAGCAGCAACATCTACAACAGCAGCAACAACAGCTGCAGCAGCAAAAACAACTGCAACAACAGCAACAGGTGCCGCCGCAACAAGAGCTGCAGCAGCAACAGCAGCAGCAACAGCAGCAGCAACAGCAGCAGCAACAGCAGCAACCGCAGCAGCCGCTGCAGCAGCAGCAGCGACAAGAACAACAACAGCATCAACAACAACAGCAGCAACAACAACAGCAACAACAGCAGCGGGCACTGCTTCATCAGCGACGACGGCAGCAGCAGCAGCAGCAGCAGCAGCAGCAGCAGTTGGGGCATCGAGTTCTGCACCGCCTGCAGCAGCAGAAGTCACAGCAGCAGCAGCAGCAACAACAGCAGCAGCAGCAGTGTCGTCATCGTGTGTCTCTTAGCTGCCAAGCAGCAGCAGAAGCAGCAGCAGCACAGACACTAGGAAGGAGACCAGAAGCAGCAGGAAGGGGTTGGGCCTTTGGTTGGCGGTCTCCTGCTGCAGCAGGTTGCTGCCCTGCTGCTGCTGCTGCTGTTGCTTCTGCTGCTGCAGTAGGATGCTGCAGTATTGCTGCTAGTTGCTGCTACCCTAGACCATCTATCCTCTCCTGCTGCCACTGTATCAGCAGCAGCAGCAACACTAACAGGAGCAGCAGCAACAGCAGCAGCAACAGCCAAAGATCTATCTGCAGCAGCAGCAACAACAGCAGCACAGCTAGCAGCAGCAACAGCAGCAGAAGCAACAGCGGGCAAACAAGCCGGCTAACCACAGCAACGATTGCTGGCCTTTGCAGCAGCAGCAGAACCAACGGCGGCAGAAACGACAGCAGCATCAACAGAAACACCCGCAACAGAAGAGGCAGCTGCAGCAGCAGCAGCAGCAGCAGCAGCAGCAGCAGCAGCAGCAGATATGGATGAAGGAGCTCCTCCTTTCTTCCTAAGGGGACCTATGGGGAGGGGAGCAGCATCCCCTCTGCTGTCTTGCTACTCAGACACTCAGCGGCAGCTGCTGCTGCTGCAGCAGCAGCAGCAGCTGGGGAAGGAGCAGCAGAAACAGCAACAGCAACGGCAGCAGCAGCAGCAGGGGAGAGCAATGGAAGAAGAAGAGGAGCAGTTTCTCCAATATTGTCCGCTGCTGCTGCAGCAGCAGCAGCAGCAGCAGCAGACTCACCTCCAGCAGGAGCCTCCATCAAATACCTCTCTCCAACAGCAGCAGCTGCAGCAGCAGCAGCAACAACAGCAACAGCAACAGCAACAGCAGCAGCAACAGCAGCAGCAGCAGCAGCAGCAGCAAGTGCTGCAGGACTGCGCAGCAGACAATCGCCACATTGAATTGACGACAGAAAATCCTTCTCCTTGGACTCCCCTCTTAACTCGCCTGCAGCAGCAGCAGCAGCAGCAGCAGCAACAGCAACAAGAGCAACAACAGCAACAGCAGCAGCAGCTGCTGCTGCTGCAACAACAACAGTTGCAACAGCTGCAGCGGGAGCACGAACAGAAATCTCTGTGGACAAATGGGGGAGAAGAGCAGCAGCAGCAGCAGCAGCAACTGCAGCAGCAGCAACTGCAGCAGCAGCAACTGCAGCAGCAGCAAATGTACGGTGTGGACTCAGCTTTGTCACCAGCAGCAGCAGCAGCACCAGCAGCAGCAGCAGCAGCAGCAAGAGCAGCAGGAGCAGTTGGTTACTGTTCAACACAATCGCTGCAGCAGCAGCAGCAGCTGTCGCTGTTGCAGTTGCAGCTGTCTGCATCTTTGCGCAGCAGCAGCGCAGCAGCAGAAGCAGCAGCAGCAGCAGGAGCAGGAGCAGGAGTTGGTGCCATACAGGAGTTCCATCAGCAGCAACGTTTGCTGCTGCTGCAGCAGCAAGAGCAGCAGCTGCAGCAGCAGCTGCAGCAGCAGCTGCAGCGAACTAAGCAAGGATGGCGCTCCCTGCT